CTCTCTCTCTCTCTCTCTCTCTCTCTCTCTCTCTCTCTCTCTCTCTCTCTCCTCGTCTGCATCTTTTCCTCATCTCTCTCTCCGGCTTTCAGCGCAAATTCGATCACCGGTGTATGCTGCGAGAAACTTTCCCAACTTGTACTTTAGAACGCGAAAGAGTCCCATGGGGATCCTCGGCGACGGCTTACACGGAATCCCTTGCCTCTTTATGCACTTCCGTCGTTGTTTCGAGAACTTGTTGCGATAATTCGCGTGAGCTAAGCTCGCGATGATGTCTGCACGATCGCCGGTTGAGATGAAACACGTATCTTTCGTTTATCTCTACGTTCATACGTTGGTTCCTTCGTACATGCGTTCGAGGAAGATATTCGTATATTAGCCGTTTAATTGGCTAGGTCGATTCGATCCCCGGAATACTCGGAGGTTGAACTTTAGTGGCAGCTACACACAGATATGCCCGGCTTTAGTCGCTAGTACGCAAGAATGTTGCTCCGTGGATGCGGCTCTCTCTCTCTCTCTATCTCTGCAGGTACTGCGCAACTATTCTCGAGTTCGCCAGCGCACGGAATATACATAGTTCGGATACTTGCTCGCGAATGCGCTCATAAGAATCGGAAGATTCGCGGAGAGTCGCCCGCGGAAAATTGATGGCGCGTGTAGCTCGATGTTTTCCCCCGCTGTAATTATCTCGCTCCTCCGAGAGAGGCAGGAGCACGAGCGTTCAACATCGTCGGGGATTTTCGAGAATCCGCGTATCATCGTGCATATATACACGCATACATGCACACACATACACCCTGTCGCCAGGTACGAGCCTGAGCAAGCGAGACTACTCGACATTCGTGCGCGATCGATACTGTTTTTTTTGTCTCTTTTTTTTCATACATCCCTCGGATATTCGGCTATTTTACAGAGTTCACGCCCTTACAATTGATTTGCCCCGACATTTACAGTTTCACGGTGCGCGGATTTCACGCGCTAGATCCGTGCCTCTTTTTGCTCGATGGTCAGCGACCGAGCGACGGCTGACGGCGGGATCGACGGCAAAAAATTCGCGTTAAACGCTAGCACGAGCCAGATGTCCGGGGGTTGCGACCGCAGTGGTCGGCGGGGTCGTCGTCGTTGTCGTCGGTCTTGGTATCGGAGAACGTTTCATAGGCAGCCCCCTGCCGCCCTGCTCGTTCTTGACCCACGGCCATTGCAGAGTGCGGATTAGAGTGTTGCGAAAATCCTCGGAAAAGAGGCAATAGATGTAAAACGTGATCGAGTAATAGATCACCTCCAGCAGATTGGCCAGCGCTCGGAACACCTGCAATCGAATGCAGAGCGAATCAATGGACGGATTCATAATTGATGAGAGTCGGAGGGATTAGGCGCGGAGATGATCGAATCGGATGTGACGCCGGACGGCATCATCCGAGGACGGCTCGATTCTTTCGAAAGAACGACGAGATGACGCGCGTGAAGGATCAAATCGGGAAACGGAGGAGTAGATACAGGTCTGTATTGATAGGTGTTGCACGAAACGTCTCATACTGAGATATTCTGACTTGAGATACTCGGATTTGAATTCAGAATTAGATGAGAATTCTTCAGTTGAATTATGTGATTACAAATATATCACACATATCATAATTCAATTGAGCAAATTCAACTGAGATTTGAATCTAACTCTGAATAAGAATCTGAGTATCTTACACTAGAGTTTCGGGTAACAACTGTTAATATATGTCTTAGGCATCAAACATCCCGGCCTTAGAGCTCTGACTCAAAGTGCGATTTCAAGCAGAAGTAAAATTTCCCTATGAGTTTTCGGCAGCACGTCCGACAATCGTAGACCTATGCGCTATAAAATTTGTAATACGTGTCTCGTTACCTGGTAAGGATAGTGGCTGAGGTTGCTCTCGCTGAGAGTGACGTTCAAGATAACCATAGGACTAACGCAGACTAGGAACAGGATACTGGTGCTTCCTAAAAGCAGGATAAGCCTTCGCTCTTCGGCGAAAGTTCTGGGATCCTCGTCGTTGCTGACAGTTCTCGATAAAGTCATTCTTCGACGTCGCTCGCAGGATCTCCTGTACACTATCATTATCCTCAGATTGAATCCCGCGAGTAAAATCGTCGGCGCCACTTTAAAAACTATTTCCAACACCACTTTGTACACCTGAAAATACATTTGCGCGTCACACGATAAGCTTCATTAAAATGTAACGAAATGCGACAGAGATAACGTTCGTTGCAAGACCGCAAACAGAATGCATAATCAAATGCACAGGATGCTCGAGCGATTCGCGAGCCCGGTTTGAACGTCAGATTGCTTTTAGTAGTTTGAGGCTAATGGGACGTTAGCCTCAAACTTCTACAATCGACATTAGCGCTTTTTATCGGCGATTAGTACGAGAGAGGTTTCGTAACATTGCACTTTAGCCTAGGGATATGTGCTTTTAACGACTAGAAAAGAGCAACGCGTCCGCGTAAAGAACACAAATTACCTGATAGTACCACGAGTTGAGAAACGACTGATTCTCTCTCTTCTGGTAGATTAGGGGACTGCCGGGCGCCAGCAGGCAGGTCGTAATTTCATCTCGAAATACGCTCGGCAGATAAACGAGAAATGTAGCCAAGGGGATGAGCACCACTGTTAGGTGAGGGGGTCCGCAGAGTGGCCGCGTGTGTTGTCCGGGATGACAGACGCTTACGTAACGCTCCACTGTCAATGCCAGAAGCATCATTACTCCAACCCCTGTGCATACAATTAACCTCTATATTTCTCGAATGCGATGTCGACCTTAAAAGCTCCCCCTCCTTCGCTTCCTCTGTCTCTCTTCGTCACAGTCGCTCGTCCATTCGTGTGTATTTTTATCCTCGTGCTCGTCGCAAAAGTAAAAAAGAAGCCAAAAAAAACCGGAAGATTCTCGCGACTTATCCCGTTTACGCAAAATGACCTCGCGCTATTTGCCCGAACGCGCCTCTTTCAGCTACATCATGGCAAACTTCTAATCGCTATCATCACCCGTAACTTATAAGAACTCGACGGGATACGAAGTAGCCAAAGTTTACCGCCAAACTTCCGAACATCTTCTGTTTCTTTCCGCGCGCGCAGTTTTCCGGTTAATGCGGGCCAGATAAATTCATTCCCTCGGTATGGATCATCGTATCAGCTGTTTTCTCAGCGAGAGAACGTTGTTAACGACGCGGAGCGGAGTCTCGCGGTCTCAGATTTTCTCCGCGGGAGTGCGGAATCACACCCTACGACTTTTCAACGAGAAACGACACCATCTCATCGCGCGTACCCAGGCAGCCGTTGCCGAGGAAGAGCTCGAGGTGAACGTGATAGAAGGCCTGCGGCCAGCTGCTCCATCCTCCCGTCTCTTTGTGAATGAGCACCCTGAGCGCAAAGGGGATGCAGAAGAGAATCGCGAGGAGCGCTGCCGCGGAGTAACCTGCAACAAAAAGCGAAGTGCGCGATTATAAACCGGGGGATAGTCAGATAAGGAAAAATAAGACGGGGGACCGGGCGAGTTAACTCGATTTCATAAACCCGGAACAGTCGAGCGAACGTGGCGCGCGATTCACTTAATCATTCCGCAACTTCCCGGAATATTCCCGCCGCCGGGGAATTTTTCATTCCGCCTCGCCCTCGGAGCGCGCGCTCTCTCTCTCCCCCTCCCTTCCTCTCTCTTTCTTTCTCACTTTCTCTCTTTCTTTTCCGCGCTCCGTGTTCGCAGGACGACAGAAATAGGATTAAATCGCTCTTCAGGATCTATTCCGAGATCCTCGACTGTGCTCTCTCTCTCTCTCTCGCGTTTTAGCTCTCGCTCTCGCACTCTCTACCTTTGGGCCACTTGGTGGTTTTATCGTCGCGCTTGTGATATTCCGCTGGTTTCTATCTCTCGTTGCGCGCCAATTCCATTTTCCTGTGATCTTGAATACCGCGTTCCTGCTTGTTTTGCACACGTTTCGCTCAATTATTAATAGATCGTTAGCGCTACCGGGCCATCTCAATTCCGTCGATTGGCCGCGCGGTTACAGGAAATCGAAATTGGATACGCGTTTTTTACCAATTTCCATCGATTGACTGTGTTTTCGCGCGGTCGGCTTTAGCGCTGTTCTCTTTGTCTCTCTGTGTATCTCTCGCTTCTCATCCCGTCTCGTATTACAGGCTTTTTTACGCCGGCCATTGACACCAATTAACACCGCGTATTTACCGTTCCGTAGAATTTCTGAGCGCAATTAGATTTGATGTTGCACTCCTGACTTTGCGTCGTTCGTGATCGTGTATTGCCTGGAAAACTGTTTATACGCTCTAAATCACGCGAATGCATAAAAAATGACTCTCCGGTAGAAACTTTTCCGAATATATTTAAGAGAGGGCTTGTTGCCTCAGGAAGAAGCAATTTTCTTTTTACACTTCAAATGGATGAAACCCGTGGAAGGAAGTAATCGGTTGGAACTTCACATCACTTAATAATTGTCAGATGCGTAAAATGTATGCAAAAGTTATTTATTCGTACGTTTTTTTCTTTATGTAAACCAGTGGTTGTTACACGGGATTACCTCCGATCAATACGCAAACTGGCAGATGCAATTTTATTAACCATCGCTTTTTTATCGCGTTTTATCTGCTCGCTAACTTTCAGCCGCTGATGAGCTCGGGAAACGATCCCAGTGGGGATATACGACATCGAGAAAAAGAATCGATATCTGAATGATGGATTCATTTTTAGTTGAATTAGCGATGACACTTCGTGGCCTTCACAGACCCGTCGTTGAGAGTCGTAGTGCTTGAAAATAAAAGTCTGTCCGACTTAACGTCGAGTTGCACTACTTAAGGATTAAAAAGAGATTCGTCTCTGATCTTGCTTTTGCGTTGTGCTAGGGCTTCGATTTTTCATTAAAGACGGTGGCGGCTCGTAGCAGAGACTTTGGAACTTTACTTTGCAATAATAACCCGTCCCGCGACCCGTAAACGCGAGCAGTAGAATCGATGCGCTACACGGGCTGCCTGCTACAACCTAGCGGTTCCGCGAAAAGACCAGTTACTCCTAACGGGTTCGAGTCTCGGCTAAGTAAGGTTCGCGTCTTAGCTAAATGACCCGTTATCAGTTCCGGTTGATAAACCTTATTACTGGAAAAGGGAAATCTCCGGAGTAGGAGAAAGTTTCGAGGAAATTCGAATGAAATAAAATGCAAAACGAATTTTCAGCGAATTTTTGATAGAATTGATCGACCTCGTAAAAAATTACACTTATTAATTAAAAAGAACTGTAGACACAGGGATCGGTGGAGTTGAAAAATATCGTGAGAATAACAGCTCCTTTAATTAAAAAACAGAAAGGGATGGATCGATTCGTCGATTGTACATCGCCCGTCTCTTGCCGGTAACGCGAGCGTTTCCTTGGTCGGTGATAACGGAGGGTAACACAACCACGTTGGATGGCTTCAACCCCTCAGCCCGTCAGTCGATATCAACCGTTACCAACCGCATTTTCCTCGCGCGGAATCCCTCTTTGAGAGCGTGTCTTATCCGACAGAACGACAGCTGCTTTAATTACGAGGGAAAAGTTTCGTCGGTTCTTTCGCCTCCGAGTTCATTAAAGCGCGCGATACATGCCCGTCGGAGTATGAAAGTCGCGCGAGAGCCCCGGAAATTGGCTAATGTCGCGCGAATGGAGTTTTCCGCCCGACTACACGGCGACGCGTCGTGGAAGCTCGTAAAACTTTTTACATCGCGGCTCTCCCCATTAAGGCGAAATTGCATCTTTCCATTTAAATTACGATTTCTCGCCGCCCGTCGGTCGCCGGTCAACGGTCGCGGACGGTCGTGAGGTGGTAGCTCGGTTTTATTAACTCGGCCAAGCAGTTGGCGCGAATCGACGAATAGCGGCGGCACCGGCACCGAGTCTTTGCCAAAACGGATTTCTCGACCCTTTCGTTCTCTTCGAAATTAACGCTTTGTTGCGTCATCGCCGGTGTAATCACCGCCGTAAACCAGGACGATTGTACGAATCGCAAGACTCTGCACCTTTTCTTTTAGTGCGCAACGTTATTGAGACATTCTTCGAGGAAGTAAATTTCTGTCTGGAAAGGCTGGCGAAAATTGCACCGTGCAATTGTGCTTGAGCGAATACGATTGCAAATTCATCAATCGAAGAACTGACAGTCATGCGACAATTATTTCGCGACTCGCACATGTGTACACGTTATAAATAAAATATTGCGGCCTGTGCTCTCGTCTCTATGTTCATCGCACGGACGTGGCACGGAAAGCCATCGTTATTTCCGACTTATCTCTTGTTACATACGTGGCATACAGCCGGTAGCCGACTCTTTCCTTTAATGAACGCGTCTCTTAAGTCGCGCAAGATGAGAGGAAGCGCATCGTAAGTACTCGCTTCTCAATTACCGGAAACCACCGCCGTCGCCGCCGCCGTCGCCACGGCAGATCCGCGCTTTCCATTTTTCTGGAGGCGACGAGCGGACGAGGGTGGGCGTCGAGCTCGTTAACGCACGCAGACACGGTGACGGGAATTAATGTGTCAGTGACCCGTTTTAGGGTCACGGTTCGTTTACCAAACCCTATAACGCTGATTGGCCGATTCCCCGGCGTTTTCTTCTTCTCCGTGTCCGATCCGCGCCGACCGATCCGATACCCCACATTGACGAGAGGAGAGAAAGAGGGGACGCGAAAAAGGACGCCGACAGACTCGTAAAATTCTCTCTGATTGGAAAAGTAACCGGGCAAGAAAAAAATCCGGGTCTGAATATCCCGGCGTGCTGCGGCGCGAGGGTTCGAGGAATTTTTCTCCTTCGGAGGGATATCAGGCGGAAGATCGACGGAAAAAAAATATGTCTTATCTGGAAAGTTACACGCGCGCGATAGTCGTCGATTTTCGACGAATGAAGCTTTCTTATTCTCTCATTTCGTTTTCCCTTTCTAACGCGACACATCAGTGCTCATCAATCAAAAGAACAAATCAGTCGTCACGTAATGTATGTGTAATCAATTAATTCGAATAATTTAATCAATTGATGAAATTCCTTGTACAATCAATGGAATCAAAGTTTGACAAATAATCAATTTCGATTGAGTCATTCGTGATTTCACATATGACGATTAATTGAATTTTGATTATTGACTTGCCGATTGCCCGAGTCAATTAACATTTTAATTGATTGGCGCCTAATCGATTAAATTGTCAGTTGACAGCGCGCGAAACCAATCGAACAGCCATTCTGTCAAATATCAGCTGTAAGCTGTCGGCGACTTTCTCTACCACGTTCAGCACTTTGCAGCGACGATTGTGATATCGAGTTATTTTACACCAATTAATCCGGAACGCTCTCGACGAGACGATTTCTTCGCGATCGTCGTCCCGATCGTGACATTTGCACGCGGAGAAGTCGCTCGTTGAAGATTCTCGCGACTCACGGATGTTGCGCCGCGTCATCATCACGACGTAGTCTTGCACGCGTATACTTAGGTACGCGTATACGCAGATATGCGTGCGTGCGTGTCGCCGAATACGGGAATAGCGGGGAAAAATGTCGCGATATCTTGCGTGAGACGGGCGACGTTGTTGCCCGGCATCCTGCGGCGACGTTTTACAAATCGTGTCCTCCCTCGGCATGTTTAATTTATCGAAATCCCGAGGGAGAAGCCAGCTGCAGCGTCCATTTGTCAAGGTCCGCGTCTACGCGAAATGCTACGCCGATGATGTCGCGCGCGCGCGCACGGCCGCTTTTACAGAGTTAAAAGCGGCTGTTTCCGCGCGGCTCGTTAATCTGTCGTCGAGAGAGCGCACACACGCGTTTATGTGTGTCGTGCTAATTCGCGAATAGGATAGGTCAGAGGTTGCGAATTTACTCGGAGATTACGCCAAAGTGGCATTTATCGTCACGACAGTCATTATTTGTGAGATTATCAGCGACAGATTGAAAGTATTGGCATATTTGGTTCTACTGGCGAAACGCGGGTTTGCGACGAACGTAGTGAGGCACGCTCGATAACTTCGAACGAGTAAATTTGCGTTGATTTGACTCTCTCACGAGTCGCACTCGAGGTGGATACGCTCTATCGAGTCACGTCTTCCGCGCGCGTCTGAAAAATATTGCGGAGCCCGGCGGGAAGCAGCAACGCAGGTGCCAGGTATTGAATTTAGCGGAGTGTTTTCCCGCGGCGCATACGTCTTGTCGTGTGTTCATCGCGTCGCACTGCCAACCGTTCGCACCACCTGTTGAAAAACGCGCGTAATACGAAGTCCCCACTTTCGCGGACGCTCGATGTACGTCCCATACTTTACCGACTTCGCTGGTGTCTCCCGGCGCGACGCATCCGTTCATTCCGCGAGTTAATAAACGTCCGGGTAAATATCCTGAAACAATAGTTACATCTCGCACGTCTCGACGGTCTCCGCCGATTAATCTAGAAATTCAATTTCGC